AGCTGCACAAACGATCATAGAGACGGTTTCGAACTAACTGGCGGCGTAGGGTATTGGGTGGGATGTCAACAATCGTTACATAATTTTCAAGACCACTTTTTCTTAAGCACTTTTTAATGGCGTGACTTACTTCATTTGATATGAAGGGCAGCTTAAAGGGAATCTTATTTTCGTCTGAAGTATTATTTTGGGGAACTACCCAGTGTTTTCCTCTAACCCGAGTGGCTTCTACTTCGTAGCCATTGGAAATGGCAATTTTTCGAGCCAGGTTTCGCGATTCCTTCCTTTCCTCTTCTCCTGTGCACACATTTTTAGCCATACGATACATATTTTTGATAAGTGCTTTTTTCATGTGTGAAGGATGAGAGGAGAGGCAGTGGACTAGAATGTTTTTACTACTTGGCTTGCGATACCATTTTGTTAAATAGCCACTTACTGAGAGCTTTATTTGGATGTTTAAGTTCTTCAATGACACTTACAAAAAGACGAAAACTCTATGGTAATTACATGATCAACAGGTTCTCGAAAAACTCACCGCTTTTTCGTGACTTCCAATGAGGAAGTTTAGAATAGCTAATTATAGTCGCATATGGTGGATGACTGCACCATCCCACATCAAAAATCGATGCGAACATACGGGGTCAGGTCGCGTATGACCTCCGGACATTCATCTCTTCTATTCATTGTGGGGTTTATCTGGGTACTTGGATGGCCCACCTTCATTAGTTGTGAGGGCCCCGGCACAATTTCCATTCTCTGGAGATTTGCTTGTTTAGCCATTGTGGTTTCCTGGAGTCCCGAAGAGAGCTTGGTCAAAGCCTGCAGCAGGTCGTCACCATCACAGGTGGCCGCAAAACATGTGGATTAGAGGAAAATTTGCCACCATACGACTAATTTGCTACCAGGACGGCGGTGGATCCTGGTATTGGTTTATCCTTAGCTAGACTTCCTGATAGAAACGCCGGACTCCTTCTCAGCTTGGAAGAATCTGCCGGTGGGACGAATATCCCGCTGTACATCGTAGCCCGACACCCAGAAACTCCTCCCAGCCACGATGAGGCAGCAAATTGTTGTGAGATCACCGGTAAACATCAACCAAGATTAGTAATTTCTTCAGAATTTGACCTATCTTTTCAAGTAGAATGAATATTTCACAAAAATGCACTGGCACTAGAGAATTCTACTTTTTCTCATTTTTTTAACCAATATGTAGGCTTAGGACTTTGAATGCAAGAGGGAGCTTGTATTAGAATTCCCTATATGACAGCTTATAGGACAGTTTTCTTGCTCGAAAAAATTCAGGCTAATGAGTTTTGATTTTTTTTATAGCGCTAATTATTAGGACAACCCACCTTACGACATGTGCAAGTAATTAAAGATAAATAAATAGGATAAATAAAGGATAAAGCTCTCGGCGTTGATCAATCTCTTAGGGAAGCGCCATGCAGTAGACTTCATTAAGCATCGTTTCTAGGTGATTGAATGCATATCTGACCTTTACGATGTGGCATATCGCGATGTATGGAGCCACTGTTGCTATCCTCCCGGACAAGTCTGGTACCAATTTGCTGACCCCGGAGGGATGGAGAGCTGGGTGGGCCATGGGCTCGGGGATCGATTCCACATGTGTTTTTGCAGGGCGCCTATGACTACTGCGCCACACGCCCCCTTGGTAAGTAATGGCAGGAATAGTAATTTTAGTAAGAAAATCTGTTTATATAAAGTATCGCTTGTCTTCAAACACGAAAAGAAGTCCCCCTAAGTAAAATTTCTTTTAAGTAAAACTTACATTATTATGAATATTTAAGTAGAGTTTTAACCTTTTTATTTACTGCCTATTCATTTTTTTATTGGCAGGATATGTTGCGAAATATAACTCGTATAATGCTGAGATATTTGCAAAACTCCGCACCGCAGGTGTCTGCGGTGAGGAACGAACGCGCTATTGTCCTTTCCGGGGAGTAACGCGTTCACCACCACACCATGCGGGTTTTTCAGTTTTGACATAGACCTCGAAGCTATGGACACCATAAGTCATTACAAGGTGACAATCGTAAATCAAGCTTTCGAAGCTCCCAACTATCATACGCTGATCATCACCGACGACCTTGCAACAGCTGAACCGCCGAAGATCCAGTAAGATAGATAAACCAGGCCATGTGACGAACAATCGCTAAGAGCGTTAATGATTGAATTCAAAATGGTTGGACCACTTATGAACGTCCTTCAAGACAAACCCCTTTCGTATGTTTGAAAAGAAAGAAAATCATTTGACAAGTACTGCTAACAAAAGGGTTAATTGATATTCAGCCGATTAACTCGATAATTAACATTAAACAGGTAGAATAAGATACGCGGTAAGCGGAATAGCTAAAGATGAGCGATGGTCGCTGGTTCGACTCTTACAAGCGAAGAGGTCTATCATCTTTGTAGGGATATGAGATCACTACCAGACTTGTCCTTGTCCAGAAAAAGCTCTCTAGGATCCACAACGGTTACCGACTCTCACGAATAAAAACCTGGGAAAGCTCTAGTAGATCTATTTCACTTCCAGGAAAAAAAAAGACGGCCAGCAATCAACAACATCGATGAGGAAGGCTGGAAATCCTCGAGCACTAGTGATCCACTAGGAAATGCTTTTACCCATTCCCGACTTCTTCTCCATGACCTTCATGGATGATGAATGCGATGTGGGAACAAACCGGACGGAAGAAGTGCCTGGATTTGCATAAAGTGTGACGTCATACGATGTAAATAGGTAAGTAAACACTTTACTCGTACTAAAAGATATGCTTTTCCTCCTGCTGAAACCATCACTGCGACATAGAAGACAGTTATGATTTAGTGAAATACGCTGGTTGCTTTGAGGTATGACAACATATTCATAAGTATTCTTAGTGAAGTCCGTACGAGAACGAAAATCCCATTCGAAAACATCAGAGTCTACTACTGAGGATTGCGATCGATCGAGCCGATGACTTGGAAATTCAGTTTTCCTCACACGAAACATCACTAGTGATAGTATCGGCTTGGAGAACAAGCATATGTCGAATCCAATCAGCAGTCTTTCAAACAAGCAAGGATTCTACTTATGACCGCAAAGTTTGAAAATTACATGATTAAAGGACGTTGAAATACGAACATCAGACGGTCGCATGTGGATACGCTTCCAAACTACAGTATATGCAGCACACATTTGCCGCAGTGGCGTACCCAGTTTTTCAAGGATTCTTAACTCAGTGTGGATAATCTTTGTCTTTATTCATCCTTTCATCTTTACAGATTGTTCCTACGTCGTATATTTTTTCCTGCTACGCGTCCATTGGGATGCGCCAGCCTTTTGTGGCCAGTTTAGGCCTTTTTGTTCCATCCATTTAACTATATTTCGTAGTTTATAATGTCTGATTGTCTAAAGGGATAAGTACAGGTTTCTTAGGCCTTGTATTCTCATTGAAGCTTATGTTATATGCTTATTACCTTCCTACCGTTAGTCATTATGTGCTCTGTAAGCTCTTTAAGTGCTTACTATTTCTTTAAAGCGTTTAATTATTTCTCAATTCCCTCGCCGTTCTAAAGCATGCAACACGTTGCTTTCTTTCATGGTCACTTCACATGGCTTGTTCGCACATTTTCTTCTGCTGGGCGTCTGATATGTGCTAATGTTTTCTTTCCTTCATTTAAGGATCGACTGGGTTCACAGAATGCCGGAGATCGTAGGTAAATTAATGAAGCCCGATGGCTCAGTTATCACAGAACTTGAGAAGCAGGTCTCACAAGCTCTGATTGATTTGGATAACAGTTCAGAGATGAAGGCTCAGCTTCGTGAGTTATACATCGTTGGAGTTCGGGTGAGGCTTCGTCACAATTTCTTTCTTTGTCATTGTTACAGGAAGCATTTTTTTAACGTTTCATAATCGTTTTCGTTCTATCCTTTTAAATGCTGTTCTTGAGTTGGCTTAGTGATAATGTGCAGGACCAGAATGCCATCTGCACAAACTTGGATGGGATGCTTTTTTTGTTAACGAAGTTATTTATTGATCAAAACCTCATGAAAGTCAAGTTGGACACACGGATGGCTTAACGTTTCGTCACTTGGTTATATTTTCGAAGGAAAAATACCGATGTTTTACTTCTGAACATTGTTTTTGTCAGTTTTCGGTCTACATCCATTATTAGTGGATCCAGTAAGCCTTTATCTGGGGATTAGTTGTTAAACTGGTAGAGTCCAGGATAGCCTCGTCCTTATCGTAGAGTACTGAACAGTCAATCAATTGTGAGTTGTAGCTTTACGTCTTGAGATTTTGAAGAATAGATGCATTTGTTTGTAAGTAAGTAAGTAGATCTGTTTTACTTGAGGAAAATGGCTACATTCACTAGTTTAAAATCGGAATTGAACAAATAAATCACCTGTCTATACGTATTTTTTCTTTGATAAGCTTACATTATTATTAATGATCAGTCATATCGAGGTTGATAAATAATCTTTAATTTCGGCGAACGTCCCGACGTCTTCGTCTTCATCAGAGCCGATGATCCGAGTCGATGGTCCACAGTTGTTCGTCTTCTCGATGTGGCGCCTCTGTGGATTGCTGGCTCTGATGAAGATGAAGACGTTGAGAATTTAACCGAAAATAAAGATTACTTATCAACTTCATGTAAGCTTATCATAGAAAGAATACATATTGATTAGTCATGCCGAAATTAACGGAAAGTCGGTTTTGAAATATAATCAATCATCTGTCTATTGAAATTATTTCGCAGTTGACTTTGTCAATAGTACCTTTGTAGTGCCAATGAGGAAAGAAAGCAGATGTCTACTAACCGTGATTCACTTAAAAACTTGGAATATAATGAAAGTAACTAGCAGTTTTGGTGCTGTTGGTTTGTCAAGAACTCATCCTTTGAGAGGCATTGGCTTGCCAAATTGTAATAACTACGCATCATTCAAGCATGAGGTCTTAAGCAATTAGCAGCTTGTTAACACTTTGGTAACGATGCTAGTTTCCCAGTAACTGCGGATAATTTCTCAGCAACTAGTACTCGAGAAATTAAAGGCTAGACAGATTTGTGGAGAAGACTTAGAGCTGTTGCTGGAAATGGCCCTCATATTTTATTTCATAGCTTTTGTTTTGGTTAAAGACGTTCTCTGTATACTGGGATATGCTTTTTTGAAGTTTATAAAAGCAAACGTTTCAAGCCACGTATCAGTCAAGGTCAGTCAATATTGGGTGTGATGAATAATAATCATTTTATGGGGAAGGAAAGAATTTGGAATTTATATACCTTGATTCGAAGTCCAGTATGGATGTGAAAGTTTTCGATTTTTTAGTTCTTTTTCTTCTATTAACATATTTCTTTTAGGAAATCGAAATCGGAAACAAGTCCGTGATTGTTGTATATGTGCCTGTTCCACAATTAAAGCAATTCCACAAAGTTCAAGTGCAGCTTGTTCGTGAATTGGAGAAAAAGTTCGGTGGAAAGCACGTATTATTTTTGGCTAAGGTTCGCACTCGTTTTGTATGCCTTAGAAGTGGACTAAAGTCTATAAATTCAAAATATTTACCATGATTCTAATAGGACGAGTTGACTAGTTGTCAGAAACCTGTTCTCGTTCCGTGGTAATGAACTCCGAGGCAATCATAAGGGCGGTTTATGGTAGTAACGACGCATGATTGTATTTCTTGAGTTAACGCTATTTGTTATCACATTTTCGGACACTCCATTATTCGCTCCAAAACCGCTTTTAAAACCTTCACTGCTTCTCCCAATATTGCTTACATGGATATTTGATGGTGCCTCTTCAGTGGTTGTGCGGGCCTTAGCATAATTTCCATTTTTGTGGAGTTTTGCTGGTTTAGACATTGTGTTTCCCTGGAGTCCCGAGGTCAACCTAGCAAAAGTCTGCACCAAGTCGTGCCAACACAGGCAGTTGCTGCCTTTGTGGATCAGAGGGAGATTTGCCACCATGAGACTAATTTGACACAAGGACTATGGTGGATCTTGGTATTGGTTTACTTTTAGCTGGACTTCCTGATAGAAACGCTTGACTCCTTTTTTAGCTTGGGAGACCTTTTCGAGGGGATGAATCCCTCCGATGTACATCGCAACTTGACATCCAGGACCAACTTTCAACCACAATGAGGCAGTAAACCGTTGGGAGGTCCTTCTAAAATTGCACACATTGGATTATGACATCGCATTAGCATGTATTGTTTTTGGGGTTGCACAAAAAATAGTTATCGGCATTTCCACCGTATAATATGGTATTTTGAGGAGCATAAACAATTTGTGAACTTGTCGTACAATATCTTGTAAATTTGGCCGTTAGTTAAATGCGATTCGGGCGAGTTTTTTTTTGATAAAATATTGGAAAAACACACCAGGGTCACTAGAAGGATTTTTTTTAGTATGGAGAACAAATTTAAATACTTTGTGTTGTAAGTAGCTAATGTGGAAGCATAACAATAACGTGGTTTCTTTTATGTGATTGAACTGGAACAGGTTTATTTTAAAAGCTTTGTTTGGCTAACATTACGTCTCCTTCACTTTCTTCAGAGCGGCATAGTAACCTTTTTATTTGTGTCGTTATTACTTCAGCGCCGGATCCTTCCGAAACCTCTGCGTGGTTCAAAAAGGCGCCCCCAAAAACAAAAAAGACCACGTTCACGTACTCTTACTGCTGTTCATGAGGCTTGGCTGGACGAGATGGTATTCCCAGCTGAAGTTGTTGGAAAGCGTACTCGCGTGAGGCTTGATGGCAAGAAGATCCTGAAGGTGTGTGCTTTTGGTTTGAATTTGTCATTCTGGATAACAGCATTTTGGGAGAGGGAGTGGACAAGTGGTTATTCATTGTCTCAACGATTTTCAAAGTGCAGCGCCGATGTTTTGTTGTTGCACGCACAATGGAGTTGGTTATATTCTATAAAATTTCTAAAGTATATTCAGGTTCATCTCGAAAAGGCCCAACAGACGAATGTTGAGCATAAGGTTGACACGTTTGTGTCCGTCTATAGGAAGCTCACGGGAAAGGAAGTTGTGTTTGAGTTCCCTGATCCCATCTTCTAAATTGTTTCTGTTGACATAAATTGTTATATAACACTATGATTAGGTGTTTCATATTGAGTTTTCTATAATTTATAAATGAGAAGTGTGAATGAGATGTTCACATTGCACCTAGTTTTTTTTTCTCAGATTTATTAAAGGCTTCCATCCTTGGCAGCCTTGAGCCACATAATTTCCTCAAGCGTTGCAGCAAAAAGACTACTTTTCTAGTTCAGGTTATTCTGTTCTCTTGAGCACAATCCTGCAGAACTAGGCCTATAGTGTGTGTCATTTAGAATATGGAAACAGAGGTTTATAACTTGATTGTTGTATCGCATGTGTCGCTCATGTGAGTCCATGACTTTGAGCGCTCTCATATCAGTTTAGTTCGTTAATCTATTCACACTAATGCGAAATTTTTCTTTACACCATGTAGGCTTTATTTTACTTGAACCGTCCTGACATCTACTATGCGCATCACAGGATCAGCCTTCCATCCGTTTTCTTTCCATTTATCCTCCATATAGAGTTCGAAGAGTTTGCATGTTGTTTCGGCTATGAATGTCGTAGAATGTTGATTGAATCGATAGCGCTTGAATTCTGGAGATAGGAGCTAAAGCGTTCCCACTTGGATTGGATGAGAGCGTAAGGTGAGTTTTTTCTTGCTTGACTGTATCACTGACCACTGGGCTGCCTTACCTTATAGCATGTATAAAGGCTATGTTTAATAGAACGTGATAGGAATAGGTGTGGAACGGTATTCAATGTGTAGTGATCTGATTTCCGTTAGAACATCCAGTATTTTGATGAGCCACAGAGGTAAAAACGTGGTGAGCACTTTGCAGGAAGACTAATGAATGCTTGTCAAAGAGTGAAATGTCTGTTGTTACGTCCAAGCTGCTCTGTATTCTATACTCATAGACTAATATTGCTCTTTAACAGCTAGCGCCCGAGGTGAGTTGACCCCTACTCAGTGCGTAAATAGATTCAGTTCCCAACTTCATGCTAATATATCGCTGCTCAATATTCATTGAACTGGAAACCGTTGAAATCTAAAGATGTTCTGTAAAGTATAGGATCTCTTATTGTACCGGGGTGAGGTCCCAACTTCATGAGGAGTCGTGTTTTCGTCACTTTTCTCGTCGAAGCCAGTAGTTTAAAAATGGATACAAATTGGACAAGCGATATTTCGTGCATTAGAATACAGTGATATATGCAGATGTCTTGTTGATCTTCATAGTTGGCGGGATTTAGCTTGGGATTTCAAGGACTCGGAATTCGTTTTTTCCTCGGAAAATTTTGGTTCCTAGAAATGGATTAGCAGTTTTAAAGTAGCTTCCTTACTGCTAAGTATATTGGTCAAAGTCTATTCTACAAGGTGGTGAAGTTTTCAGCTCTTCAGATAATCCAGTTACCAAAGAAATGTCGGCAGCTTGCGAAAAATTGGCTTCGGGTCTAAAGTGGCAGGTGTCCTGGGAAATGTCATGCTGTTCTAGTTAATCATTCCCAACGGTTTACCGCCTCATTGTAGTTGGGAGGTGTTCCTGGGTATCGGACTGCGATTTGCAGCAGGGGATTCGCCACCCCCCGACAGCGTCTCCCAAGCTGAGAAGAAGTCAGGCATTTCCATCAGGAAACCTAGCTAAGAGTAAACCAATACCAGGGTCCACCACCGTCCTGTTGGTATCAAAGTCGCATGATGGCAAATCTCCCTCTTATCTACAATGTCTGCGGTTGCCTGTCGTGGTGACGACCTGGGGCAGACTTTGACCAGGCTGTCCTCGGGGTTCCACAGAGCCACAATAGCTTGACCAGCAAATCTCCGAAAAATGGTGATTATGCTGGGGCCCACAAAACTAGTGAGGACGGGCGGTTCAAGTTCAAGTATCAAGTATTATTTAACTTGTCTTGGGAAATGTCATAAGATATTGTTTAACTATATCAGATCTCGAAGTGGTGAATGAAGAGATTCGTTCGGAGTTGACTATTCTAGAACGTTGCTGTTCTAAGAACAGCCATGATGTAAAAAATTAGTTGAAAGAGTGTAGGTAGACGAATAAAACAAGACTTGAAAGGACTAAACTTTTCTCTTGAGTAAGACAACAATATGTCTAGCCTTAAAACCTGTAAACTATTCGAAAATCGATCTCATAAGTAGTTGCTGGTATGCGAACCAGCAATGAATGAATGGGATGCACTGTGTGCCGGTGAGATTCTTGATTGTCGACGGATTTGGCGCGGATTTGGAGGCGAAGTGACAGTGGCGCTCTGCTCTGAGAGTTTTTCACCACCTGAACAGATAGAAATGGCATTTTCAAATGACATTTATGAGTGTTTGATAGGAACCGAATATTTCGCTTATTCAACATCGAATATCCGATGGTGTTTGATCGTGTTCATCTGAGTTTTACAGCTGTTAACATGGAAAGGTAGTTCTGTAGCATTCAGCAGAAAATAAGTTGTGTAACTCCTTTAAAATACAGATTCAGGTACAAATATAGTAACCTACAGTTATATCCCACATATTCTCAACGGATGGGGGAGGGAGTATCCATTGCCCACATTTCTAGCCACGACGAGCGAAGATAATAGTCGATACCATTTTCGATTTTGGTCATCAGCGCCTTCGCTATGCTGCGAATTATTCTTGACTGCATGTAAATAACAATAACCGGACCGAACAGTGTGCGGAATGTACGACGACACGGAGGATCGACTTTCCCTCCAGGTTGTAAGAGTCAACTTCACGGCACAGACAAGAGTACTGCCTTTGTAAAGAGAATTTTGCCATGTTTGTAGATCTTATTTTAAACGGGATAGGTTGACTTTCGAAGTTGAGCAAAGTAGACGATAGCCGTCATAGTGGTGATATCAATTGGTAGAAGCTCTAAGTACAAAGATCTTTCGAAACCTCTTGAACACTAGAGAAAAACCACAGTAGCGCACTCGCTGTGCCACAACCGTAAATCGCAATTCACGATCCATGAGGAAGGATCTGGAATGATTCATGTACAGCGTGGATATTGAGTTCCTGAACGAGGACATCACAGAAGAGATTGGCGTAGTAATTTCCTACTACCATTTCTATACAATGAGGAAAAATTGTACTAACACCACATTCCTGCATCCGCCTTATATCATATTCAGATAGGACGCCGCAGGGCTCCTTTATACTTCTTCTTTTCTTTTTCTTTCCTTCTTTTTGAGCCACTTCACCCAGTTTTCTCTTCCTTCACCGGTTCAAGTCCTTCTGTAAAGATCTGCAGGTGGCAGTTTTTTTCAACCTTGTCTTTATCTTTCAATATCTTATATTAACGAGCAAGTCTTCTCCAAGACATCAGCGACCGATTGATATTACTGGTTCTCCAACATCTGTTCTTCTGTATGAAAATTTTGAACTCTATCGAGGTTGGTACACCTCGAAAAGAGGAATCTCATACCACATCATGTGTTTACGACTAATTCTCAACGTAGAAAAACTGAGTTAACTGGAAAGTGTTCGTAACACTAACCCATCATCTGTCGCTGTACCAGTAATTTGTAGATGCCATCCTGACTGATTAGTTCCTTGTGCGTTCCCATTTGCTCCACATAACCCTAATAGAGAATTCATAACAAGAATATTTAAGTTAAATAGTTTACATGTGTTATGAAAGAGCTTTCAAAAATAAAAGATGACTGTAAGTTTGCTAAAGCCGGGATTTAAGCAAACAAAAAACGATATTTTAACGCCTACGGTAATACTCAAGTGGATAATGCTTATTTATTTTCTGCCTACTACAATTTTTACGTCAGGATATTATGCGAAATACAACCACAAAGATGCCGTGATATTTGCAAATCTCCGGACCGCAGGTGCCACCAGAAAGAGTAATAGCGCGTTCGTTCCCCACTGCAGACACCTACGATCCGGTGTTTTCCAAAAATCTCAGCATCTTTGTGGTTGTATTCAAGTGAATAATTTAAGTCCTTACTTGGATGCTTGAATGACCCGTCTTCATTGGTTGTGCGGGTCCTAGCATAATTAGCGTTCTCCGGAGATTTGCTGGTTTAGCCATTGTGGTTCCCTGGAGTCCCAAAGACAGTCTGGCCAAAGATTGGCCCGCTCAGGTCGTCACCGCCACAGCAGTCATAGCCCTTGTGAATCAGAGGGAGATTTTCCACCATGCGACTAATTTGATACCAGGACGATGGTGAACGATGGTATTGGTTTGCTCTTAGCTGGACTTCCTGATAGAATCGCCGGGCTTCTTCTCAGCTTGGGAGACCCTGCATGGTGATGAATCCAACCGCAGTACATCGACTGCCAGGGACATCTCACCGCCACGGTGACGCGGTGGACCACTGGGTGGGGATAATTTAAGTAACTATAAATAACTCCGAAGATAAAGCACAAGTAAGGTTCTATTCATTGTCGGAATCGATTTTACCTTCTTTACGGTATCTGAAAATACAACTCAGGAAGGTTTCCACTGTTTTTGCTCACATGATTGATAACGACGATTTTGTCAGCGTTTTCGATTGTGCTAAGACGATGCGCAATGATCACAACCGTACGACCTTTCAGATTCTTCGAAATTGCTTCTTGTACCTAAAATCGACCAATAAATATGTTTAAGGCGTTCGTGAATTCCAGGTGCCAAGAATACTTTGTGGTGGAAATCATTATGATAGTAAATTTACCAAGTGTTCACTTTCAGAATCAAGTGCCGAAGTGGCTTCGTCTAGCAGAAGTACAACCGGATCACGAACAACAGCACGAGCGATCGCTATACGTTGTTTTTGTCCGCCTAGAAGTGTTCCTTTTTCGCTAAAGCAAGAATGAGCCCAGTTTTTACCAGGTTTTACGCTCACGAAGAAAACAAAAGGCAGTCCTAAGTCAGAAAAGTTACTAAAAAAAAGAACATCTAGCTGAAAGGACAATGCTAGCAACATCTCGTATCACGCAAGTGAGGAAAAGGATACGAAGCACCGATCTACGTCAACCATCAAGGATCGAAGACACCGTTCTATACGCCAAACCGTCGAAGATAAGGTGGGACACATAAAGCGAATGAATGACAACCAATGGACAAGAGCCGTTAGTGACTGGCTTCCTCGAGATGTCAAATGCACTGCAGGAAGACCACCGACTGGAGGGGCAGAGTTCTTTACGAAAATCCTAGAAGGAGGATTTAATGCTCATCGAATCCTTAAAGCGAGTAATACTAATTGTGCTAGTCTGGCACGTGATAGGCAAAAATGTTCACACCCGCTCGAGTCACTCGACGACCAACGGGACGATGGGTGATACAGGTGATTCTTCAAGAGAACCAAGCTCTAGAGAGACTAACTTCGTCCACTCCCTATTAACTAAGATACCAGTCGACGTTTTTTACAAACATCAATGCCCATACTTTTCGTTGGAATTTGTGATAGCAACTCTTTACCCTACTATATGGGGAACGTTAAATGACTGTAACGAACCCGACATTTGACATCCCTTCTCACCGACGTTCGTATTGTAGCCATCAGTGGTATCCATAATGAAACTATGAGCGTTGGCAAGTTTTGCTGACTAAATGGGAGATCACACATTTCATTTCAGTGAATACCATAACTAACGACATATCAAGAAATAGCATACCGTTTGTACTTGATCCTCACTGTAAGAATCGAGACCGTAGCCGATGTTCTCCGTCACTGATCTGGCATAAAGCACCGGTTCTTGACCAACGAGTGCGATCTGTTTACTAACCACTTTATGAATATGACAAAAATATCTGACTATAAGCGGTTTTATAACTCTTGTATCAAAATCAAAGGCATGTGCAATGCACTGGTTTGTGCAACCCTGCACTACATTCAGAGGCTCGATCGTATCCTGGACTCAGCAGGCACTCCATTCCTCCAGGGTCGGTATCTTTATACCACACTTCTCTTAGGGGATAGAAACACTAACATAACATATTAGTAGGCCACGGGAAATTGTAACCCTGTGTTTGTACTAAATAATCTCTACGAAACTACGAGTAGAGACGAATATATAGAACCAGCGAACTAGCTAACGCTAAACGCTTTCTTTTTTACTTTTTATTTTCTGCCTACTACAATTTCTACGGCAGGGTATTAAACGAAATACAACTACAACGTTGCTGAGATATTTGCAAAACTCTGGACCGCAGGTGTCTATGGTGGGGAGCGAACGCGCTATTGTCCTTTCCGGGGAGTAACGCGTTCAACACCACACCATGCGGGTCCTTCGTTTCGCTTGTCTCTCAGCTATTTCTATCGATCAGTGCCATCAGCAATCACCCGTCAGCGGGATTGATCTGGGGAGCGCAAATCGGCATAGAACCCAGTTAAGCTATGGCTGTAGTTGAAATCACAATGTTTAACGTTTTGTTTTCTGCCTTCTATAATTTTCATGGCAGGTTACTAAGCGAAATACAACCACAACGTTGCTGAGATATTTGCAAAACTCTGGACCGCAGGTGTCTATGGTGAGGAACGAAAGCGCTATTGTCCTTTCCGGGGAGTAACGCGTTCACCACCACACCATGCGGGTCCTTCGTTTCGCCTGTCTCTCAACTATTTCTATCGATCTTTTTGCCACAGCAATCACCCGTCAGAGAACGATAGAAGTAGCTGAGAGACAGGCGAAACAAAGGACCCGCATGGTGTGGTGGTGAAAGCGTTACTCCCCGGAAAGGACAATAGCGCGTTCGTTCCCCACCATAGACACCTGCGGTCCAGAGTTTTGCAAATATCTCAGCAACGTTGTGGTAATACTACTTTATTTAATTTCGTCTTCTTTCTAACCTGTTCACTGGTCCAGTGATATTTTACAATTCTAAGGTGCTTTCCTTCAGCGTTGTTTTAGTAATTATTTTATATCTGTAGATGAAAAACAGTGTTAATCTTTATCTAATCAGTAGCAAATCAATAAAAGTGAAAACTGCGGCAAGAAGAATTTCACCAACCTTTGTATGAAGATATTTATGGTCATATTCTCTTATGGGAACGCCATCAAGAAGTACCTAAAGAAATTTCATAGGCATATTTAGCACCAGTGTATGCTGAAATTTGAGGTAACGCTTTGAGTGCTAGTAATTATTACTATTATTGTTATTATTATGCTGTCATTATTATTAGTATTATTACTAATAGACAAATACCGTACCTGTCCTCCACTTGGCTCATAGAAATGCTCCAACATTGCGATACAGCTGGATTTCCCACCACCAGATGGTCCAACAAGTGCAACAACTTGTCCTGGCTCTACAGTAAACGTGAGATCCTTCAAACAATAAACTAACAAGACGAACAACTTCTTACTAGGAATATTGTTCCTACTGTCACAATTTTCCTCACCTGCATGATTGGTAAATCAGGTCGTATTGGATAACTGAACTTAACATTCTTGAATTCGATTCGACCGGCAATTTTCTTCGGGGCATATTTCCCGTAATTCTGCATAAATTGAAAGAATTATTGAAATGATTTGTAGTAAATCATCTTCTTTTAAGTGGCTGCTTTTTATTTATTTTCTTGAAATTCTCTTTCATTTCTGAATTTAGGTGATCTTTTAAAGCAACTAGTATAATTTCAATGAAACAGCCCATGTTGATAAATGAACCACTAGAGGAAAAGCAACGAACTGACATTAACTTTCGGTACACGATCGACGAATTCAAAGACTTTTCTGGAAGCACCGACGGCCTGCATAAGACCATTCCAAACTTCTCCAAGTTCCTGAAGAACACGATGTTTTTAGGAATCAATCGACAGAAAAGCGCGTGATGTGATTCGTTGGCTGGTAGGTGGACCAAAGCAGTGCCACCTCTTCGCCATTTGTCAATGAGCACTCGACCAATAGGAAATGAGTTGACAACGTTTTTACCAGAACCAATCGTGACTATTGTTGTGTATGTCAACAGACATGTGAAAAAGCCTTTTTTTTCTTGCTAACAGTATTTTTCTTCTTTTTTCTATCTTTCTGAAACCAAATTTAACTAACCCTCAAGTTTTCTCCCAACTGAAATTGATACAATAAAAATGAGACGAGTAGACCGGATGCGATCTGAAGAAGATATTTTGTGCAAATTTAACAAAATCTAAAGATTACCATGAAGAAATTGAACTTTTAAGTATGCTCAAAAAAATGAGCTTGGAACCAAACTAACCTTCCCTTGAATGACAAGATGACCACCATACCACAAAACGACGGTGAGAGTAGCCATTTGAAGTAGCTGTAACTATTCCTTTTGTGCATAACTATTCCCTTATTTTCACACAGCGTCTTTTACAATGCTGCTTTTTCTTGGAAAATATCGTGTAATACTTGGATGAAATAAGAGACAACATAGAATCACTGTGGAATTCGACCTCATTGGTCCAGATCAGTCCAATAACGACAAAAACCTTTCGAGTGGCAATGGTGAGTGTGTCGTTCAAATACTCCAAGAATCTAAACGTAGTAGGGTTTCCTAACCATTTTCTAACTGTTTAGGCTAAATAAATAAGTAAATAAATAAAAAAGGCTCGTGTGCAATCCAATGATTTCCGTTCAGTTACAGAAACCCCTCTATTTTTTGACTTCTTTGGCAAATTTTTGCTTCAGTTTCGCAAATGAGATAAAACATGAAAGTGCCCTACTCCTATAAGTTATTATTTAGATTTTATTCCGTTTTTGGAGTAGTTGCAGATCATTTTGATCGCTTGGATGCACATGACGGCATGCGTCAACGAGTGACGTCATTCGTAAACGAAAATTCAGGACTAAAGCGACAAAATAGAGGGCGGCTGACCTTTGTCCTTCATAACGTTCACAAGCGAAACTTTTTACGGTTCGAATTGCCGACAAAACTTCTTCTGCAACATCGTTCGCTTTTGCGACAGAGTTCTGAGTTTCTTCAGACAATTTCTGAAATTTACTGAAGCGTATGGAATTTCCATGATGAATACAGATGCTATGGATTATCCTATTTATAGTTATAGCAACTATTGCTAGAATAATCACTATTCTTCCATCTTATCGTAGGTTTCTGTGGTAACCACATTCGTGATCCCTCATATCGTTATGCAATCTTGCAGCATGTAAATGTTCTCACCTCATTGGAAGAAACTTTGCTTGTCACAAACACCCTTGTTTGTGTTGTTTCTGTTCCAAACTATCACGAGTACGACAACACATAGGGCATGAAGTTGTTTGGTAAACCGCCCTCACTCATCTGATCTGATCACGAAGGAGCTGGATGCGGAAGTTCACGATTGTTTTCGGTGAAAGTTCTAGACCTGTGCCGAAGCACCGCTCCTTTCAGATGACATTCAAGTAGCCCCCGTAAGTCAGCATTGTATTGGCTCTCCCCTGTTCATCATGTGTGATACGCCATGTAGCCAACCCAAGGTGTTAACTCTTGAATACGAGATCACTATTGTATATTAACTTTTCAGTCATGTACCTCTAAACACGCTAACTCTATTGTGTGCTCACGTCAACCTGTTAATACGTTAACCTCGCCGCAATGTACTCACAGGCTTGCATTTATTCTTTAATGCGTTAACCTCATTGCAATGTACTCACAGGTTTACATGTAACCTCATCGTAATGTTATCATAAGCTTACGTGTAGCCCTTATTGTGTTAATCTCACCAGAACGAAATCACAACCCTACATATAGTGTGTAACCCCATAGCAAGTATTATTATTTGTGAGTGAGGTATTACGGCCCTACATGAATCCATTAATGAGCCTACATTTTGTGACACTATTGATGCATTCTATATGCATATAGTACTGTTTCATAACCTTATAGCAAAATTACTAACCAGCTTCACCCTCACTTGTTAATCCCGATGCCACATTGCAGCCCATATAGTACCGATGTTTATATACTGTTGTTCTTGAATTATTACTGCTATGAACGCTTTAATTACCCAGGTTTAAGAAATTGCTCTGCGACAACTACGAAAAAGATCCGCGTGGCAACTTCTACGAAGTCGAGCATTCTACTCAAAGCTAGTGATTACAAGGTGTGGAGAACTGACTCGAAGACCTAACTTCCACAAGCAACCACGACAATACTGACTACTTTCGTAGTTTTTTCGCCTTCCCAAGTTATCAAAGATTCAAAATAGTGAGCTTTTTCTAAAGTGCTGGAATTTCATAATGAGCGGACTCCCTTGATGGAAAATCATTACGATAATGGCAAGCAGTTGCGAATTCCCAATGAGCAAGCGAGTTATGACGATCTCTGTATAGAAAGGAACAAAGCAGTGGCTTTTTGAGCTACTAATGTTATTAGTGAAGACGCTCCTTTGAATGCTCACGAACGTCATGGCTTCAAATGAAGTTAAGTGTTGAACAACTTTAAACAATCTAATGAATCGGTTTCATTGAAAAAGGCGGTCTTTTAACTGCTCAGTCACATTAGCATCAAACTGATAAGCAAATGGTGTCGCTAGTATGTTCAATAAGTTATTTTGGTCACCATTTATCAGGAAAATCATTCAAATGGCCTATAAAGTGACAACTGGTACTACAACAACTGCCAACCACTCAACTAATTTAGTACTCCTGCACATCATTGGTTAAGAGACTGTTATTCATTAAAATTTCGTTCAAAAAGCCCTTAATTGTCATCTGGCCCAAACAACAAGCTCATAAACAAATCAGACGGAGTGCAGATGGAAATGCATTACTTTCAGTCGATACCTGAATCTCCTATCTCTAACTAGCAACACTAATGCTTCAGTACAATCCCAATTTAATTGGTAAACTCCTGGTCAACAAGATTTTTCTCTCTAAAACTCGAACACTTGTGGCTGTTATGAGTTTGTCAAGTTATCGTTACGGACAGTCGTCGTCCCTTAGCGATCGAAAAAAGTTTTATGGCTCTCTGAGTAGGTTTCTTTTAGGACAACCTCGATTCTTTGCATTGATTTACACTGAGGTGGGCTTCTAGATGTCGATATCCCATTTATTCGTAATACGGAAGATCCCGCTGAACGAATGAACACTCAATGCACATTGCTTTCTGCCATCTATGAGGAAGCGTTGAACGATTGAAAGAAGCGCTATTTTAAGAGCCTGAAATAAGTTGGCCATGTTGACTGCCAATTCAACTTGTTTTCAACTCTGTAATATGCTACTGGCAAGTGGGACAATGGCCTGCCACATCGACAGCTGTGCGACTTGTCAAAGGAGAGGTTGAGTGGTTAATGAGCATATTCAACTGATATTTCCTTGTCAATTGGAACAATGCAATTGCTTGAAGCAGTAAAACCACCTAGAAAAAAAGAAATGGATGAGCTGGTGCAGTGATTAATTTTTCCAGTCCATAGTACTCGCACCGGCTTACCACCTCATCGTGACTAGGAGGTGTTCTTGGATGTGGAGCTGCGATCTACTGCGAGGATATTCATCCCCTCAACAGGGTGTCCCAAGTTGAGGAGTCCGGCATTTCCATCGGAAAATCCAGCTGAGAGTAAACCAATACCAGTATCCACCACCGTCCTGGTATCACACTAGTCACATGGTGGCAAATCTCCCTCTGATTCACAAGGGCTGCGATTGCCTGTGGTGGTGACGACCTGGGGCAGACTTTGGCCAGGCTGACCTCGGTACACAAGCGAAACACCGTAGCTACACCAGCAAAACTCCGAAATGTGAAGAATATGCTAGGGCCAGCGCAACTAATGAGGGCAAGACTTCCAACTATCCAAGTATTTAAGTAAATCCATGGTAACATTTATAACGCCGAATCTTATAGCTTTGGTGTTTGTCAGTCCATGCACATGAGACGTAGCCACTTTTCTAGATACATAGATCTTTCTAGATTTCCCAGATAAAAATCATAATAGAAAGGAACGAAGGCGAAATGTGGTTGTGATCGTTTTAGTACCTAGATAAATATTATATAGAGCTCTAAATATCCAATTAACCCACGTCATACCAGACACCGAAAATTTTGTTAACCAAGAAAATGATTGGAACGGTAATTAAGGTGATCATCGACAGTCGCCATGAGAGCGTTGTCATGAAGATCAGCGAACCGAACAGCATCGTTAAGTTTCTGAACAAAGCAGTAAAGGCTTCCATGATTCTGCTACAAGGCTTCCTAGAGATGATTAGGAAACAGTGCTAATTTGCTAAGTGATTTATGAATCATCTGTTTCAAGAGTTGTCTAAATAATACGATTCTTTAACTCTTCAACAGTGAAAAATTAAAGTGAAGGATGAGAAAGCCACCTTGTTAACACATTCATATACAATGATAAGGTGTTTGACATCGTCTGGCAATCAGCAGTTAGACGAGAACAGATCTCTCCTAAACGGTGGTGAGTGACCAGTTAGAAAGGATTTGTTACGCTAAGACTTCGCAATAAGAGATGAAGGCATCAAAAATAGACCAGAATAGTTTATTCTTCCAAGCGAATGAAATAATGAGGTGTCAAAATCGAGACGACAAGAGCTCACCAGTCTTGTTGGCGTCGAAGAAGCCGATCTCCTGCTTCGTTACGGCTCTGAAGAGGTCATTTCGAATTTGTCGGTCGATTGTTGCGTGAGCATAAGTGAACGAACCACCACGTAAGCCACCGAAGACGGCGCTGTAACGCAGGTCATTTTAACAGGATTGAGAAATCTTTAGTAGAAGCATAAAGAAAGGGTCCGACGTAGATCAACCCCACGGGAATTCACTGTTCATTGCTCTTAATTGCTAGCAACAGTGACATTCCAGTGTCTAACACGTATCGAGTGAATATTTATATTCTCCCAGACAAGTCTGACTGCACTTTACTGACTTCGGAATGACGGCGGTTCGGTTTGATGGAGGCGCAAGATCGAAATGATGAACACTTATGTACTGCTTGAGCACATGTGACGACTGCGCTACATACTCTCTCTAGAATCCTTTAGCATTTCATTAAAATTATCTTTTATTGAAGGAAATGAGCGTCACGTATTACAGCAATATTGCGCGATCTTATAGCTACACAGAATTTGTGGTCCTTTGAATTACGGTCTGCAGTATATCGATGCTCCATCGTAGTGTAACAGAATATGTTGAAGGCCTAAGACGTACTAGCGTCTAGCATGCTTTAAATTGCTGTGTTGTAGGTCGTACACAAATCGTACAAATCTCAACTTTGTTGATGTTGAAATTTGTAGTGTTTGAAGGAAAGTAATTGAACGTCTCACCAGCAAAGAGACAGTAATGCCATGATGACGACGGTTTGATAAAGTCGCTCATAAGAGGCCTGTTCTCCAAACACAGCCGACACCACCTCACCCGTATAGTACGGAATAAATACACGACCTAAAATCAGCGTCGCTAAAATTGTAAAAGTCGTTCCGTTTTCTTTTATCGCTAGCGGAACTACTGGAATAGAGATTTGGACAAAAATAAAAAGAAACATTTCTAATTTGGAATGGATCCTCACGTCGGGACGGTAGATTAATCTCTAGGAATACAAAGCCGAAAGCATAGCATAATTTATATACATGTATCAATTGTGCCTTTAGAATCTCCAACGATATACCAGCTCCTAGGTCGCTTCTAGTTCTCGAACTACGATGGAAACCAGAGCGTTCTTCCTTCTTAACGTGGTAAACCCAAGCTGACGCAGAGTTCGCCATTTCAAACCAAAAGACCAGTTATGAGTAAATTTGTGTTATAATGGAACCCATAGAGCCACCTGTGACTGTCTTTTTACGAAAGCACTTTAAAAGAGGTATTATAACAAGGGCGTGGTGGTGTTGCTGTAGACGGCCAGCGGAACACAGTGGGAAGTTCTAGAAGAAGATGAACGAAGTTTGATGGTGTCCGCTCGAGTTGCTAGATCATTTACGGGGTAAAAAGCTAAGCGTTGACAAAAACTTAATAGGAATACAAATTAGCTATCAAATAGCAGTACTATGCCATCATATGAGATGAGCCAGAACTTTTGCTGAGCAACTGAATCCTTGCTTCAAAAAGAAGGTGGCACACGTTTGCAGATCGTTTACAGACATGGGATAGACTTCGTATCGCATCAATGCATTACACAACTCTTTGGGAATAATTCTTTTTGCAAATAGATTGGTTTTTTTTGATTATATTACCTTTTTTCTTTTTTGCATATCCTTTTTGGGCGCGGAAATGGGCGCGTGTGGCGCAGTGGTCAGAGGCACTCTGCAACACACACGTGGAATCGATCCCTGGGCCCATGGCCCACTAAGCTTTCCATCCGTCCGGAATCGGCAAATTGGTGCCAGACTTGTCTGGGTGGATAGCAGCACTAGCTCGATACATCGGTAGTTCACCGCGAGTCACTATTAAGGCCAGATATGCAAGCAATCACTTTCAACGATGCCTAATGAAGCCGAGTGCATGGTGCATTCCTCAAGGATTAACCAACGCCGAGAGCTTTTTATTCTTCTATTATTTTCTTAAAAAGTAGTCACATTAAATAGTTACTTAGTGAGTAGCAAAATAGGAAGAAGAATGCCATTCCGTAGTATTTCCATTCTCGTGCCATATAACCGAGCAGACGACAAAGAAGCATGGACGTTTCACGCTGCCTGGCAGCTTTTTCAGCTTCTTGCTGAAAATATCGAAATGGACCCTCCACAGCCTCGCTAAAAAGTAACGAGAAAAACAAAATGAAATAAGCAAGAACTTTCATCCATCAATAAAAACGTGAAAGAACGAAGCGTCTAGTACAAAAATTAGGACGACAAGAGCGTCATTGATAACAAAATAAAGCAAACAGTATTCATATATTAAGATGTTCTCATATGATTCATTTAAGAAAATGCTGTTTAGTCATATAATAAGAATAACAAGGGTGAGTAGTGCAGTGATACAAATTATGTTAAATATGCGCAAGGCCTAGGTTCGACACCGCCTCGGTAAGCAGGCCTCATTTCCTCGCTCAGCAAATTGGTACCGTATTTGTCTGACAAGAACTCTCTACGATCCACAAAAGATTACCTGTAGTGAAAGTCGAAGAATGTTCTGATACGGTTACGACAGGATTCTAGGAAGAATCTAATTGGAAAATTGACATTCGTAAATAGAGCCGAAATCCTAATGTAGCAGCCGAACGCATGCGAACAAGCCGAAGTCCATTGTAATGATACGAGAGAATCCACTGAATACAAGTGTTGAGATCCGAACTATATGTAATGACTAGTCATGTGAAGATTTGAAATAGTCTTTTTATTATTACTATTCGAGCAATTCTTATCTTCATTCTCATTACATAGCAGTTTCTTATCGATGGACATCACCAGGTGACGTGTGGGTGGCGCAGTAGTAGTGATGACGTTCACCACGAGTAAGGTTCTGGGTGCCTCGACCTCTCCCTTGGCTCACCAAGCCTTTCATCTCTCCTAGGTAGGGTAGACGGTACTACAGTTATCTAGGAACAGTTCGTTGATTGCAATCCAAGTGGAAACGCTCTAGTTCTGTTAGTACACGACTCCTGGTGGAATGCTCGACATGATCAGTATTCAATGGCGTTCATAAAGAAGACGACAATGCTCAAAAAACTAGAACTTCGTAGATGATGGATGCGAGAAAACGAATAGAAAACAAGGAGTGCAAGGACCTGCACAGTTGTGAAGAATAATCGCGTAAAAGGAAAAACAAAAATGAAAAACATCTCCTCTTTAACCAGCCTAGTGGATAATCATTCTCGCTATTGAGTGCCTCCACAATCTACTGTGGCACATTTCTAGACAGCTGCTATCATTATCCCATTTACCAATCAAGATTTATTATTATCAACACTATTATCTACAATGTGGTTTAATTAGGTGATCGAGACACGACGATGGTACAAAGATTGATCACAGAAATAAACAGACTAGTAGAAAAAATCACTAACTTGCAATTACTAGAAATGCCTAACGTTTTTTCTTACCTCCATTATTCTTTCCTCATAGCCCTCTTCACCAAACATGGCATCAGAATTATGATCGCGTTCACTGACGCGAGTATAAACGCTCGTCCAAATCACCTAAAATCAATGATATTCCTTCCTCATTATTTCACACCGAGAATTTCCTCTCAAAACTAACCTCTTTCCTTCCAATTTCAGCGCGGGATCAGATTTAATAATTTGCTGCATGACGGGTGGATTTAAGTCAATGTCTATGGTTCGAAACCCCTCACAGAACAGAGATATTGTAGTAATCAACTTATTCGCATTTACTCATAAGCTAACATCAACTGATTATCTTATGTCTACTGATCCATCATTATTTAAGGAAGACCCATCATGAGATTCGTAGGTGCACCAACGGATAGAATAGCTTAACTCCCACGACCGACTTTCTATTAACCTCGGCATTGATCAATTAATTCTTCGTATTTTTGTTGAGCAAACGCGAGGTGTTATTGTTCTTTATTCACGAATAAGCTGACGTTTCGGCGGATTTCGCCTTCCTCAGAGCCTGGAAAGGTCAAGTTGACAGCAATCTACTCGGCCAGACGCCTCCATAACCAAACAAGGAAACTCTAAACCGAGATTTCAATCACGTTGAACACAGCTTTGCACACTCACCGCTTTCTCTGAGGTTATAGAGGGAAAGGTCCGGAAAGGTAGATGAAGGTAAGGTAAGGTCCAGATGGTCCGGAAAGTACTACGCTCAAATAAGAGGGTTGGCAGTGGGACAACGACTGGCTCCAAACCTTGCCATTGCATTTGTGTCTAAGGTGGAAGCACCGGTGACTGATCACGGGTCGCTACTCTACTGTAGATATATAGACTCGTTTCGCCAATGTATTTGTCANTAATTCTTCGTATTTTTGTTGAGCAAACGCGAGGTGTTATTGTTCTTTATTCACGAATAAGCTGACGTTTCGGCGGATTTCGCCTTCCTCAGAGCCTGGAAAGGTCAAGTTGACAGCAATCTACTCGGCCAGACGCCTCCATAACCAAACAAAGAAACTCCAAACCAAGATTTCAATCACGTTGAACACAGCTTTGCACACTCACCGCTTTCTCTGAGGTTATAGAGGGAAAGGTCCGGAAAGGTAGATGAAGGTAAGGTAAGGTCCAGATGGTCCGGAAAGTACTACGCTCAAATAAGAGGGTTGGCAGTGGGACAACGACTGGCTCCAAACCTTGCCATTGCATTTGTGTCTAAGGTGGAAGCACCGGTGACTGATCACGGGTCGCTACTCTACTGTAGATATATAGACTCGTTTCGCCAATGTATTTGTCACCACACGTCTTACAGGAGATCAGATAAACTATACCCGAGCTCATGCAATCACCGTCTCTACCACTGAGGCAAATTATGCAATTTTGAGCTGCACATAGACGGTCATATAGGCGGTTACGAACTAGCTGGCGCTTAAGATTACTCGGTGGTATTTCCATTATCGTTACCGAATTCTCTAGACCGGCCCTTCTTAAACAGCGTTTTATAGCTGCACTTACTTCATTTGAGATGAAGGGTAGGATAAACGGGACCCTTCTATCGCTAGAGTTGTCGTCTGGAGGCCTACGATTTCCTCTACACCTATCGTGAGCTGCAGTTTCGTAGCCATTAGAAATGGCTATTTGCCGTGCCAAGTTCCGGGACTCCTCTCTCTGCTCTCTTCCCGTGCACACGTTGGTTGCTGTTCAAACATGTTTCTTACAAGCGCCATTTTCGTGTGAGAGGGGTGAGAGGAGAGGTAATGAACCGAGATGTTTTTACTACTTGGCTTTCGGTACCACTTTGTAATGTAGCCATTTTCTGATAGGTGAATTTGTACGTTCAAAAATGGAAGCCATTTTTCTTTCGGCTTTTCTTGGGTGNGGAAAGTACTACGCTCAAATAAGAGGGTTGGCAGTGGGACAACGACTGGCTCCAAACCTTGCCATTGCATTTGTGTCTAAGGTGGAAGCACCGG